CCAAGGGAAGTAGATCTGGAAAAGGTCCAGGGAAGAACAATTAAAATAATTAAAAGGGAGAAGTAATAGATGTGTTAGGAAAGGCCAAAGGAATAAAAGAGCTCTTTAATCTGGGAAATTCAAACTAAAAGAGTCACTACCACCATCACCACCAATAATCATAATAATAATGGTTAATGTTTACTAAGTTCTCACTATATGTGATTCTATTTAAAATGCTTTACATGTATTATAGTTTTCAATCTTGACAACTACCTTATCAAGCAAGTTATCTTTATATTACAGGCAAAGAAACTGAGGCATACTGCAGTTAAGTATCTTGTCCAACGTCATTGAAAGAAAAATTAAATCTAATTTCAGACCATATACTTTCAGAAGCACTGTAGTAGTATCTGGCTCCAGAGCTATGCTTCTGACCACCAACAAATTAAATCTTAAAAATATGAATTGTTTGACCACAAGCTTGTTTACTAAGATTCAAAATTAGAAATATGAAGATGCCACTTAATGATTCAAGAAAACATTTTGCTGTTGTTTGAGTTTTTTCTTTTACAATGAGCACTATCACTTTTTGGGATATTGTGTATTGTGAGTTTTGTTTATTTTGTTCTGAAAATTAAAGTATGCAAAATAACAAAGATGACATTTAAAAAAAAAGAAATGAAGAGGATGCAATTTCACCATGAATACTGAAAACAGCTGTTTACCCAGTAGGAAGTAAACTTCTATAATTTGTCAAGCAAGAAAGTGATAATAAATAGAAAAAGCTTGAGGAATAGTTTAGTACATATAATAGAGTAATAAGTCTTACTTAAAACAAAACAAAAGCAGTTACCATGAAGTTTATTCTGACTCATAGGAACCTCATGTATGTCGGAACAGAACTGTATTCTATATGGTTTTGAGTGTATGAAGTGTTGGAAGTATATCAGTAGGTCTTGAACTTTCTATCTTGATTTAGCTGCCAAGCACATTAACTGTTAGGGACTTCACATACCTCTTTTTTAAAATTATTGATATTTTAATGAAAGTTTATAGAGAACTTGGATTTCCACTCATTTATTGTGGCACATTTTCCTCCCTGCTCCCCACTCCATCCGCCCCCCAGCTAATTTCTTTCTTTGGAAGAAAATTCTTTCATTGTTATCACATACCTCTTATGGATACTTTTAATAGATTCTTAAGGAAGTATTCTTGGGGAAAGTGGAATTTTGATCTGGGTAGGAAAGATATGTTCTAGGTAGGGGAAAATCTGCATGGGAAATGGTGACATGGATGAATGCGGCATGAAGAGACTTCGGGGTCTAATAAGGTTAATAAACAATTAACTTTAAAAAAAAATCCCAACATTCCTGGAGTAACAGTTCTTTCTCTATTCCATGAAGTATCCAAAGAAATGTGATGAGTCTTCACAAATACTATCTTTGTAAAAAAATCAGTTTCTTTGGGAGAAAGGAAAGGCATTCCTTTAGTTTCACTTAGGAATTTAAATGCTCTTTCACAGGATGTTTGACTTTTGTTCAATAAGCTCTTGAAACTGGTGCCACCACTAACTAACTGTACTTTGCACCTTTGGGATTAACTCCACCTTAGAAAGTGGATCCAAGGTACTTATTTGACCAATATAGTACTTATAAGTAAAGTACCTTCCTTTTAGGTTGGAATTCACAGATAAAACCAACTAAAAGTCCCTCTGAACATAAATTAACCATTTTATTTCTAGCAAATGTGAAAGGAGGTTATACAACAGCATCAACAGGTGACTGGACAAACAAAATGTGGCATGCACGTACAAAATCAGTAACAACCCTCCAGTGGGTTTTCAGACCATAAGTCACACAGGATTTCCCATCCTTTTCCTGCCCAGAAGTTAGTGGATTCAAACCACAAAAAAAGGGTGGCCTCTAGGCTAGAAGCTCAGACCACACAATCCATACCCACATAATGGAGTGTAATTCTGCCAAAAAGAAAAATAAAGTTCTGACCTATGCTACAAAATGGATGAAACTTGAAAACATTATGCTGAGTGAAACAGAGCACAAAAAAGACCAATTTATATGGTTAGTTTATATGAAATAGCTTTAAAAAAACACATACCTTCAAACTCACTGTCATTGAGTCATTTCCGACTCATAGAGCTTGCTTGGCTCCACCATCAACATTCTTGGCACCAGCAACCTGGAAATTAAAAGATGAATTGCACTGGGAAAGTCTCCTGGTCAGAGACCTCTCCAGAGTGCTGAAGAGCAAGGCTGTCAGTCTGGAGACTAAGGTTCGCCTGATCCAGGCCGTAGTCTTTGCAATTACTTGTTATGCATCAGAGAGCTGGACAATGACTAGGGATGATGGAAGGAGAGTTGATGCCTTTGAGCTGTGGTGCTGGACAAGAGTATTGAATATACTATGAACTGCTAAGAGAACAAATAGATTCATTCTAAAGAGGGTGAAACCAGGGTGCTTCTTGGAGGCAAGGATTCTGAAGTTTAGTCTGACAAACTTTGGACATGTTGCAAGGAGGGATCAGTCCTTGGAGAGGGACATCATGCTTGGGAGGGTGGAGGGACAGCGCAGAAGAGGAAGACCCTCGATGAGGTGAATTGATTCAGTGACTGGGGTAATGGGGTAGGTGTGTCGGAGACAGTGAGTTTGTTAGGACAGAACAGGGTTTAGGGCTTTTGTACCTAGGGTCGTTATGAGTCGCAGGCTACTTGATGGCGCCTAAAAACAAGAGCCCCGCTAGCTTCCAAGACCTGATCACTAAGAGAGCAGACTGCTTATCTTCCTCACACTGAGTCGTTGATGGATTTGAACCACTGGAAGCTCAAGCCCCAATGGTTAGCAGTGAAACTCGCCACCAGAAACTATGCCACCAGAGCTTCCGTTATTTTATATTAGTTGATATAAGAAAATCCAGCAGATTGAATGAGTCCACTATAGAAGGTCCTGGATAGAGTGGGAGAAATATGTGGAGCAAAACTCAAAATCATAAAAGAATTTTAGATTTATTGGTCTAATAGAGACTGGTGGAACCCCAAGACTGGTCCTTAGACACTCATCAGGCTTAGAACAGAACTCATCCCCATCGGTTAATTTTCAGTCAAGCAATAGATAGGCTTACAAACTTAAAAAAAAAATATATTCACACACTAAATGGTAACATCAGGGAGGGATGCACTCCTTAGTAAAATCAAACACAGGAACCAAAGGTGCAGGTTTTGCCTGGCGACTAAGTTCAGAAGTCAAGAAGAGACTGCAAAGGATAAACGGAATGGAGAAAGACAGGGAAGAAGTGGGAACAGTGTTATGACATTGTGGAACTTGCAAGTGATGTCATAAAACAAAGTGCATATAAATTGTTGAATAGAAAACTAATTTATTCTTTAAATTTTCATCCAAATCATAACAAAAAAAATTTTTTATAACAAAAAATTTTTAAAAGTAGAGTATGCTAAGAGAGATCAAGAATGGGGTTATTGTCAATTTAAAAGGGATGGTCAGAAGGAGGGAAATGTGCATGAATGGATGAATAATAACAAAAAATGGGGGGAAAGGGATTGATCATAATTCCAACAAGGTGGGGAAAGGGATTGATCATAATTCCAACAAGGTGGGGAAAGAATGTTGGGCCATATTTTACTTTCACTTTATGATTTGTCTTTTGCAAAGCTTTACCTATCCAGGAGGGAGCTCTGGTGGTCTAGTGGTTAGAAGCTGAGCTGCAATCTCTAAATCAGAGTTTCAAACCACCAGCTGCTCCACGGGAAAAGGGTGGGCAATATCCTCCCGTTTGTACAAATTAGTGCCCGCTGGAGGATCAGGTATGGGTGGGTACTGACTCCACAGCATCCAGCCATAACCTATCTTTCAAAGGGACACTAGAGGAATTGGTACAGATTTGGGGGGGGATGGTGAATTGCCAATTTGAAGTACCGAAGGACCATTTCATGGGAATGAATGTCCAGGAGGTCGTTGGAAATACAGAGTCGGAGTTAAAGTGAGATATTTGAGAAAGAGATGTAGATTTGGAAACACTGAATTATCTAGACGGCGGTAGCGGTAGGAATGAGTGAGTGAGTGAGTAAGCAGGCGAGCTTGCTCACTAGGAAGGTTCAGGGGAGAATCTCTTTATTTTAAAAATAAATTTTTAAATTTTATTTGTGATTTAGGACCTCAGCACTGAAAGTCTGTATTTTTCGGGGATTGAAGACAAAGAAAAATCAAGATGAGAGTACATTTCTAATCATTTACAAGAAAGAAATGCGCTATTAGCATCTTTTTATTCTTTTCTGTGCAATTTCCTCTCGAATGTAAATGAACTAACTTTATGATAAAACACTCCCACTAAGCTTCAGCCCTTTCAGTGAGAATCTTTCTCCAACACCTTTCGAAGGTAAGGAGATGAGAACTAACACTGCGCATCCCTGCGTGCCAAGGGCCAGTTGTCCTGCACGTCCCCTCGGCCCCTAACCAAAGTGCTGGCTCCCAGAGGGCTGAAGAACAGAACCTGTCTGCCAAAATTTAAAATTGCTTAAAACAAGACGGGGAGATAAGGTTTCAATGGGGGGAAAGGTCTGATAAAAATCAGTGATCTAGAATGGCATCCAGAGCCCAGACCCTATCAGCCGCCAGCCTATCAGCTTCTCTGCCTTCCCGAGGACACACCCTGATCACCCTATGGCTGCGCTCATTGGCTGGCGCCCATCCTCTCCACCTTCCACACAGTGTCTTCCACCTTCCACTCTTCGTTCACGCTCTCCGCAAGGTTCACGCCCCTCCCGGCCGGCCGCACCACGCAGGCTCCGAGAGTCTCGTTGACATTTTCCCTTCTTCCCGTCACGCCTGTTTCCGCTTGCTCAAGGCTCGGTAGCTTGTACCACAGAGGCACTTGGCGCCTAGCGCTCCCGTGACGTCATCTCCCCGCGCTGCGCGCACAACTGCCGGTGGTAGCAGCCGGTGGTAGTACTGTTTGCTTTTGTAGGACTGCTGCTCCTCCGAGGATTATGGCGCCGTCGCTGTGGAAGGGGGTGGTGGGCCTTGGCCTCTTTGCCCTAGCCCATGCAGCCTTTTCCGCTGCGCAGCGTAAGTGCCTGAGGGTCGGGCACCGCTCAGGGGCGGGACCCGGGAGATTGTGTGTGGGCGCGCCCCTTGGGGAGTGTCGGGCCGAGTGTCCCAGAAATGATCGTTTGAGGCCTTAAGAGTTTCGGAGTGCCTAAGAGAAGAAGCAATGCAGGGCTCTCTAAGAAGAAGGTTGAAGTTTGAGTGAGATTGCGGGAGGGTTAGAGCAGGAGTGTTTGGGAGAGCGCGCTGAACGGGGCGGGGTTGACAGAGATGGTCCGAGACCGAGATAAGTGATGTCGCATCAGCATGGAGCCGAGTAGGCAATGTGTGGGACTGATCAGCATGGCCCAAGTCTCTTGACAGCTAGGTAACCAACATCTCGGGCTCCCCTGGGCTGTCCAGGCACAGCCTGGGAAGTTAAAGGAAACCATTCCCTCTGGGAGGCACTGTGGTGGAGAAGGAAGAGCACTGGACTAGGAGTCCTGCGAGCGGTTTCTTAAAACGTGCTTTCCACCAAGTCCGTGTGACCTTGGCCAAGTCGCTTGGTTTTCTCTGAGTTGCAGAGAGGTGGATTTGAATGACTGGGAAGTTTACATGGAAGAAGAAAATGTTTTAAAACACTTAATAAATTAGAAAACGTAGTACAAATACAATTAAATTGTCCCTAAGAAACATAAAGCCCAGCAGAGGATGTGGTACACTCTTGAGCCACCTGATTTTTTGGGGGGGATGGAGGGGATCTTTTCTCCCAGGCCAGGATTCAGTAAGCAATATAGCACGTGGGCCACACGCAGCTGTCCTCTTGTTTTTGTAGAGTTAAGAATTTATTTTTTAACATTTTGTGATGGCCATGGAGAAAACATAACAGAGGAAGAATAGCATTTTAGGGTCTGTGAAAAGGATCTAAAATGCAAATTTCATTCCCCATCTATAACATTTTCTTGGAACAAAGGCATACTCATTCATTGGGGAATGTGTTTCAGACTGCCTTCCTGTGGCCGAGTTGAGTAGTTGTGATAGAGGCAGAATGGCCGGTGAAATCGAACATTTTAACTCTGGCTCTTTGCAGGAAAGGTTTGCCGACCTCTGCCCTAGCCTATAGAGCTCAGAAGACAGGAACAGTATAGTTTGTAAACAGTGTCTGGAATAATGTATTGAGTGAAAAAAAGGAAATTCAGTTGGATTTTCCCCCTTTACTTACATTACTTTCCATCTCCTGAAATAAAGCAGAGAAATATGTCTCATGATTCCTCCAAAGCCCAGGTGTTTTTTTCAAAGTGAAGTCTTTTGTTCTATTTATTATATAGTCGAAATTATCTAATAATTTACTCCCTACATATATGTGTTAGAAAAACATTTAGCTTGACAAGATTGATTATAGATTAAAATCTTTTGTGTTCAGAAATTTTAGATTTACATAAAAGTTACAAAGGAACATCAACTGTGTACCTTTTGTCGGGTTTACCCATTGTTACTTTCTTAAAATACCACTCTGTAGTGTCACAACTAAGAAACTGACATTGGTAAATTACTATTAAAGTCTAGCCTGTATTTAATTTCTACCAGTTTCCTTTACTGTCTTTCTTCTGTTTCATGGTCCAGTCCAAAAAGTTTGTTGTCATATTTCTCTAGTCTTCTTTGGCCTGTGATATTTTTTGCAAAGCTCCAATCTTTAATGGTAACAAGTAGTAGTAACATTTATTAAGTGCTGTGTGCCAGGCTATCTTACACTTGTATTATATCATTTCATTTTCCCCGAAGCCCAGTGAGGTAATTGGTAGTATTATTCCCTTCTGAAAGTTGAAGCATCTGAGACACATGAAGGTGGAAACTTGTACAGAAGTACAGAGATGATACGTGTTGAGGCCAGGATTCAAACCCAAGGAGTTTGACTTTAGAGCTTCAATACTAGACTGTTTTATAAGATAAAGTCTTTGGTAATTGATTGAAATTATGCTGTGCTTAGGTACTAGGGTACAGTGATAGTGAGTGACATGGCTCAGAATCTAGTGGGGAAAAAGTAGATTAAGAGCAATATAGACAGTATGTTCACTAAATAAGAATGCATAGTGGTGAATGCTGTTAGTTGTTTTGGACAAAGAATTAAGAAAAGTGGCAGAGTGTTTCACTGCTCAAAGTGGTCACCAGACCAGGATCATGGGCTTCTCCTGGGAGCTTGTTCATACTACAGCATCTCAGGCCCCACTGCAAACCTGCTGAGTCCCAGTTTGCATTTTAGTAAGAGCCTCAGGAGATTTGTATGTGCATGGAAGTTTAGGAAGCTCTGTCCTGGAGATTAACATATCCTGGAGGAGATGAACATATCCTGGAGTACTTGTGTGATTTCCTACACTAAGTTTCAACTGTATAATTAGTAATGCAAGTAGAGTCTTAATGGCTTCATTTCATAGACCAGGAAATGCCTGGTAAAGGTAATAGTGTCACATTAGGCTTCATGCATAGAAGAAAGCTAGCTGATAATTGAACAAAATGTAGGATAATAAAAATATAATTTTTCTTTTTCTATTGGTTTGGGTATTTTTTTTTAATCCATCCTTAGGATAAACTCCCAAACTTTAAGAAATGTCTCTAAAGATGCTATTAGGAGAGAGAATGTTAATTCAAAACAATTGAAATTTTTTTAAGTCCAAAATAACATTACTGAATCTAGAATTAGTTTTGTTTTTATATTTGAAGTAATGAGAATGTCTCAGGAGTTTATCATTGCAATGGTACATATAATGTTTGTGCTGGGAGGAGACTGATATTTACTTCAAGACTAATTGTGTCATGCCAGGTTGTAGCAGTGGCTTTGGGGCTGTGGTGTTTGCTGCAATGAGTTACACCAGTGCACCTCTGTACCTTATCTCATTTACCCCTCACATCACTCCCATTTTACTGCCATGGAAACAGAAGCAGTGAAAAGATAAACAATCATGTGTTTATTTGGATTCTAAAACAGAACTCACACCTCCACATTTTAACACTCTGAGTTAATGTAGTCAGAGACTTTCTTAGATTGAATGAGATGTAGTAAATTGGAGGGCTAGTATTAAAAAGTAGGTTAATAAGCCTCTGAATTAGATCTTTTTCTTTTATGTAAGTCTTCACTTATATAATTGTACTTCACATTTATAATTGTACTTTTTAAATAATATTTTATTAGTAATCTACATTTTGTTCAAGCATACAATTTGTTGAGATTGCGCCCATGCCAACCCCTCAAGACAAATATTGAATTTCTAAAGATGTTGATAATAGAAGGCAATAAAAGTGATAATATGTGTGTATATGCATATGTGAATATACAGATAAAAGAGATAATTGGCTTCTCTCAGAACCAACAGTAAATTGGAGAACCTCTGTACCTTTCTGTCTCCTACGGTTAAGCTAGTAGTAGAATTAGAAACTAAATGGTAGTGGTAGAAAATGTCTTAGGATTCCTTTTCCACCACTGGTCCAGCATTGTCTCTGGGAAATAATTTCCATACCACTATCGACTAGACCACTACAGGACCAACAGTCAACGTTGTGATAGATGGAGAAAGGAATGAATCTGCCAATTATTTCACCTCACTTGGATCCACAACACCCTTGATACTAGCAGTCAGGAAATCAGGAGATGTGCATTGTGCATGTCAGCTGTCAGGGACTTCTCCAGAATGCTTAGGAGCAGATGTTAGTTTGAAGACTAAAGTGTACCTAATTGAAACCATGGTCTCCTCAGTCACCTGCTGTGTATCAGAGATCTGGACAATGAATAAGGAGGACAGAAGAGTTGATGTCTTTGCGTTGTGATGCTGGAAAACAGTACTGAATATTCCATGTACGGACAAAAGAACAAAGATACGTCCTGAAAAGGTGCAACCAGTGTCCCTTGGAAGCAAAGATGATGAAGCTTTGTCTTTCATACTTTGGTTATAGGCGAGGCTAATCCTTGGAAGAGGGACATCATGCTTGGAAAGATGATCAGTGAAAGAGAGGAAGACCTCCAACAAGATGGTTTGACTTCAGCAATGGACTCTGTTGTGCCAGAGATGATGAGGATGGCCAGGGTGGAGCAGGGTTAGATCCATTGTTCCTAGACACTGACGTCGTGACACTTAACAACAATTACTCAGTACACAAAGAGATCTGCTAACCCAGAGACTCAGCTTTGGTGGTTCAAATCCACCCGTGGTTCCTCAGGAGAAAGATGGGCATTCTTCTCCTGTGAGATTTACAGACTTGCAAACCCAGTGCTATACGTGGGTTCCAACTGGATGCCAGTGAGTTATTACTACAAGAAAGGAACCCTGTTGGGGTAGTGTGTTATGCACTGTACTGCTAATCAACCAAGAGCTGAGCAGTTTGAATCAACCAGCTGCTCTGAGGGAGAAAGATGGGCTATCTCCTCCTGGAAAGATTTACAGCCTTGGAAAATCTGATGGAAGGTTGCTATTAGTCCGAATCAACTCCATAGCAATAGTCTTGGGGTTTTAGTCATTACTTATTCAGCACAGAGAGCCCTGGTTGTTCAGTAGTTAAACACTTGGATAATAGCTGAAAGGTTGGTAGTTCAACTCCTCCAGTGATTCTGTGGGAGAAAAGACCTGGTGTTCTGCTTTCAACATGTCATAAATCAAGTTCCTATGAATTGTGATCAGCTTGACAGCACATAACATCACTTGGAACAGTTTACCGAGCTCCTGGGTGATGCAAATTATTAATGCACTGGATTGCTTTAAGCCTACCTGGAAGAGCTGCAGGAGAAAAGGTGGCCATCTACTTCTGGAAAATTAACCATTGGGAAAGAAAAAACAAACCCCAAAACCTGTGGAGCACCACTTTATTCTGACACATAAAGTTGCTTTGAGTCAGAATTGACCTGAAACTGACTGTGTCCATAGCTGTGAGACTGAAGCTATTTCAGACCTGAGATTTTCTTTCAACTTAATGATTGTCATTTCTTTGTCCAGTTAGTAAAAGAATTTTTCTTTTTGCTTACTGTCAGATGTTTTTAGCTTTCTTGTAGTCAGAAAAAGTAAGCATTTCTGCCCTGGACTCGCTCATCTTTTATTCTTACCCCATTTTATAAGCAGGTCAATGTGAGAATAAAATATTTTATTAAGGTAAGGCTGATTGATTAGGAAATGAAAGTTTTTGAGGAATCTGGTATTAGCAGTACTTAATTGCTTATATAAATGAACCCCTTTTTTGTTTATTGATTTATTTGCATTTTTTTTAAAAAAGGCTACAATTTCTTTAATGGTATGCTTCTGGTTTATAGATCGTTCTTATATGCGATTAACAGAAAAGGAAGATGAATCACTACCAATAGATGTAAGTTTGTAATTTATATTCCATTAAAAATAATTTTAAAATTAGCCACATAGCTTATAAGTCTTTTTACTGATTCTTATGCCCTTAAAATTTTCTAAACATGGAATAATATTTTTCCTTTATAGTAAAACCCAAAGAATGGAAAAGGAAAAGATTTCTGTTTTCATTTCTAGAACTGTCACAATAGTCTTTCCAAAAATTTTTCCATTTATAGTATGAAACAGATTTAAAACATGGATTATTTGGCTTTATCTTACTAAAAGATTTATGTAAAGTTTTAAAGAAGCTTTTTTTGGACACACATATAAAAGATGAAATGAAAGAAAAACAAGGAAATGGGTTTGGTATGTGCTTTTTTTTTTTTAACTTTAAATGATGTATATTTTAGCTTCACTCACAATTTTTAGCCCTTCTGGAATTTAAATTACCAAAGTAATATATTCTTTGTAATAGACTCAAGCATTAAATGTAAAAATTAAAGCTAACTCCTTTTCTTAGAAATTCCACCTCTACTCCCAAGATACAGCAAACATTGTTAACAATTTGAATTAGTTCCACAGTTTGGGTTATACTAGTTTAGTATTCTTCCCACACATAAAAAACACTGTCTTTATAACAGTATAGTTTTATCTAATATACACAATTTTTCCCCTAAGATGCATGTATACATAGTATCATAAATAGCTTTTTAAAATGTGATAATCTTAAATGTGTTTTCATGACAATTCATAAAGACTTTACCACATTTTTGTTCACAGTGTCTATGATTCACTGTATGAATTAGGCCTTGGTATACGCAGCATAGCAATGGGCACTGGTAGGGCATTTGGTTTTAATTTTGGAAATTTGAATAATAGCTTGTGGCTAATTTTGACATTAGTTATCTATAATTAAGGTTGGGGGTGTATGTGTGTATGAACTCATCCCATCACCTTTGTGGTTTTTTTGGGGGGAGCGGTTTGTGGCACTTTTTTATACCAGTTTATTAACAAAGCTCATATACATTGTTTTTCACACTGAATCTCTCCCATTTCCTTCACCACCACCCCCTCCCCCATCAAATTGTACGACCATCCCCTCATTCTTACCCCTCTGCTCCTACAGTCCCCTCCTTGGATCCTCATACTAGTTCTACAATAATGGTCTTATACAGTATTTGTTCTTATGGGTCTGAGTTAGTTCACTTAGCATAATGCTCTCTAGTCCCTCCAAAGTTAGGTAGTGATTTACAAAATCATTGCTCCTGAGTGCTGCATAGTATTCCATCGTGTGAATGTGCCATAATTTCTCAACCCATTCAGTTGTGGTTAGACATTTGGGCTGTTTCCATGCTCTGCAATCCATCGTGTGTGTGTGTGTGTGTGTGTGTAAGCATATATTCTTTTTAGGTTTGTTTTACATAAATTTCAATTGCAAATTGGAAAATTTGAAAGATACAGAAAATTACAGTCAAGAAAATAATATACCTATACTCTTAAACACTTTTGTTGCACAATCTTTTGAAAACAGTTTGTTGTTACTTAATAAAGTTGAACATCTCCTTAGCCTGTCCTCAGCAATATCAACCCTGTGTACTAAGGCTTAAGAATAAGAGTGTTCATATTGGTATTATTTGCATATCAAAGCTATTAGAAAACAATTCAATTACTTCTCAACAGTAGAATGGATAAATTGTGATGTTTTCATATAATGAAATGCAGAGTACGATGGAACTGAATGGTGTCCTGCTTTGTCTTAGAACAGAGCTGGATCTTACAAAGTCAAGAGAGAAAAGCTAGACCCAGAAGAATACACTTGAGTTGATTTATACACAGTTCAAACAGGCTAAACAAACATGCATGTGTATATGTGGTTTTAGAGATAGATGTATAACTGGTAAAATTACAAGGAAAAGAACTGGTCTTGTTGGTTAGTACAAAATTTGGGACAGTAGTTTTAGAGGAAGGGAAAAAGAGAAATTGCTGAGGAACACATGGGATTTGAAAGCTACTGATAATGTTTTATTTCTTTAACTGGGTGGTGAGCGAGTAGCCTTCCTATTGTTTTTCTTTAAAGTGTAAACAGATGCACAGACTTTTGCATATGAACTAGTCAGCAAAATGCATTTGAAACTTTCATTATAATTGAGTTCTAAACTGCTTTGTGCCTGTTTTTGTTAATTTGAGCATGTTAAACTCATCTATGAAAGTGTTCAAAGGGGTTGTGTCCCTGAATCATGGAGTTTGCAGAGGTTTTTATTGTGTTTTGAGTCCAAATCATTTAAAGTGAGAATTGACTCCTTCATGAGTAGCAGTTTGGTCTGTTAGAGCCTCAAAAGGGACAGAAAATGAAAAATGTATATACTGACATTTGTATATTGTTTAGTAATCTTAGTGTCCATATTTACAGATAGTGCTTCAAACACTTCTGGCCTTTGCAGTTACCTGTTACGGTATAGTTCATATCGCAGGGGAGTTTAAAGATATGGATGCCACATCAGAACTGAAAAATAAGTAAGTCTTTCTCTTTTCTTCAGTGGTTCTTTTCACAGAGAGATTTTTCATTTATGTATTTTAAATGTATGTTTTCTGGTACCAAAAGGTTGATCTTGTTTTTGATTGTGCTGTTTCTATGAGTAAATGAGGTGAAAATACTGAGATAGTGTTTACCATTATAGGAAAAATGGAGGCTGATTTTCAGATTATTGATATTAAAATAAGATGTTTTTTACATTATGGTGCTTGCACGTTGCTTAAAATTAATTGTTTGAAAAAAATTAATTGTTCGTTAGTTGGATGGATGGATGAATGAATGAATGAAAATAGACAAATTGAAAGATACTCCCTCTGAGATTTTAACCACTCTCCCCCTTTTCTTCTCCTTTCCTCTTTTAACCTTCATATTCCAGCTGAGTGTGTTTTTTGTTGTTGTTTTAAAAAAATCTGATCACTTTATTTGAATTTTTTTAACTTAAAAATTGTGATTTGAGTAAGTTTGCAAAGCACATTGGTTTTCAATTCAGCCATGCATATGCATTATGTTTTAGTACATTACTATAGTCTTTTCACTTCCCTGTGATTCTCCTTTCTATCAATCCTTCTATCCTACCCCTTCCTGCTATCTGCACTTCATCCCTACCCTTTTAGTCTTGTTTGGTTGATTGTTCTAAGGAGTGAGTGTCTCCTTGATGAGATTATTCATCTCAGAAGACTATTGTTTATGTGAAAATTGAGTCATAGGGATGATTTTGTTCCAGTTTTGAAGGATAACTAGGGTTATCCATGGTCACAGCAGCTCCACCAGTCTGTCAGACCAGCAAACCTGGCCATTTTTATAATTTCGAGTATTGTTCCGTATTCTTCTCCAACTTATTTTTTCGAGAAATTGAGGGTTTTCTCTTTTCTCAATCATATCACTCAAGTCTGTGGCATAAACTCTTCTTCCCAGGTCATTTTCCAATCCTGTATTAAAGTATATTTGTTAACGTACTTTTGTCTTCCTGTTTTTCTTCTGGAGACGTGCTCTGGTGGCACTTGACTGGTAATTGAAAGGTTGAAAGTTTGAAATCACCCAGCAGCTCCATAGGAGAAAGTCCACATGGAGTTTGTTGTTATTGTTATGCACTGTCACGTTGCCTGCAACATACAGCCACAGCTCTGAAGCCTGCCCTATCCTGAGGCAGTCTCACTGACTCTGACATGCCTATTCCCATTACCCCAGTTACTATGTCAGTCCATCTCATCCAGGATCTTCCTCTCCTGCACTGTCCCTCCACCCTGCTGAGCGTGATGTCCTTCTCCAAGGACTGGTTCCTCTTGGCCACGTGCCCAGGAAAACATAAGGGGCAGTTCTTCTCTGTCACATGGAGTCATTATGAGTAATAATCCTACCCTAATAACATACTCCTTAGTTATTTTCATGAGTTTTATTCGCCTTCCTTCTCCATAATAGGAACTCTGGTAGCACAGTCCATAGTTAGGTTGCCAGCTCAGCCACTCCACAGGAGAACCATGGATTGTCTCCTCCTGTGTCATTTACAGCCTTTGGGAAACACAGTGAGTTAATGAGTGAGAGGTATTGAGCAGGTGATAGCAGAATATATGCTTTTGGACAACAGTAGATATAGAGAGCCAAAAGGAATTTTTTTTCTTAAACTGTTCTTGAAAGTTTCTTAGGAAGCTACTCATGTAGCTTGAATAGAGGATTTTGTCCTCTATTCTGATTTTTCAGAATGACCAAAGAGGCAATCTAAGTGGGGTTGGTTGGTTGGTTTTTTTTGTTTTTTTTTTTTTTTTAAATTTTTCATTGTGCTTTGAGTGAAAGTTTACAGAGCAAATTTGTTTTCAATACAGCTTTTTGTTTAATGGCATTACAGGCCCCACATTTAATTACAATGTGTATTTGCACTTTCTCCCTGTGATTATTCTTATCAACCTTCTATCTTAGCCCTTCTTGCCTGTGAGCTTCTTCCCTGAGCAAATACTGCCCTTTTGATTTCACATGATTGATTGTCCTAAGGAGTGAGTACCTCAGTGGTGTTACTGGTTGCATAACCTTGTCTGTTGTTTTGCTTAAAGTTGAGCTTAAAGCATGAGCTTAATTCCAGCTCAGAGTTTGTGTTGGGTTGTTTGTTTTTGTCTACACTGTTTTATGGGCTTGTATTAGATTTACAAGGTTGATTCAAGTTGAGCTAGTACTTGTTACCATTCACTCTAGAAGGAATAAGAATAGTGGAATTAAAAGAATTCTGAGGGCTTCTCTGTTTCTTATTTTACCTAATAGGAAAATATGAGATAAAGTATTATTAACATTTACAGTCTGATTTCATGGATTTATATTTAGTTTGAAATATAACCAGTAGAGCAGTTTCATAATTCATTGAAAACTTCCTTAATTTCCAAAGGCATTTATGAACATATACTTGAAATTGATGCTTTTCCCCCCCTTTTCAGGACATTTGATACATTAAGGAATCATCCATCATTTTATGTATTTAATCATCGTGGTCGAGTACTGTTCCGGCCTTCCGATCCAGCAAATTCTTCAAACCAAGACGCCTTGTCCTCTAACACATCGTTGAAGTTAAGAAAACTCGACTCACTGCGTCGTTAAGGTTTTTACAAATTATAATGACAGGACAGAGTTGGAATATTGGAGTTTGGGGTATAAAACACTCCCCATCAATATTTATATTGATCTTTCAGACCTAATTAAAACAGAATCTATGGCTCTTATTTGTACACTGGCATTCATATCACTAATGCAATATAAGTTATCTGTGAAACAAGTTTTTTTCCATAGGTATTTTTTTTTTCATTTAAAACAAATGTACATCTTTGTGAAAGTCACCATTTTGAACACATTTCTTTGGAAAATGTCATTGAATTTTTTTAGCTATTTATTTTTTTAGATTTCTTTTGCACTACAGTTTTTAGGATCCTTTTGGAAATATTCTGTGATGACTGCATTTGGCAACATAAGTTATAGGAACGTGATTGTCCATTCCCAACAACAAATGGACTTTACTAAGGAGACCAAAAATGATGATTCATTTATCAGGTTTTCTTATGCCCCCTAAAAAGTGGCTCTTCAACAGATACTGGCCAGTTTTTACTTCATCCATGACCTCTCACCCTACATTACTCCTAGTTCTTTTATCACTTCTCTAAGATTCTGTGTATGAAAATGAGCAATGTTTATGTCAGATTTTCTTTGTTTTGACAAATATATTCAACAAATTCAACTTACTTTAAGCACGTTGTGTTTCTTTTGTGTATCTTTTAAAATTTACTCTAGTTGATTAGATAGTCGAAGAATAGCTGAAGATAGACCAAAAAGGAATTATTTAATTCTAGTACCTTTGCAGAAGAGTAGTGATCAGTAAAGAAAGCTGATTATGTATTGTTAGGAAGTTTAACTTATTCAAAACTTCTATTAATGTATTACATACTAAACTGATAAATTTGGAAAATAAAGAAACAGTTGCATTAATCTGAAGTCAGACTTCAAAGGAATTGGGCCAGATTGGTTCTGAACATTTGGAACTAATATTTTTAATTTTTTTTAAAAAATCAAGGTCATTTAAGAAGTTCTGTAGCTTCTGATTTAGATCAGGCTGAGTATTTTCCACACTCACTCTTGATAAAAGTGAGATTGAGGATATAGAGTTAAATTTTTAAATTTTTTAAAAAAAATATATGACACTTTTATTTTATGGGAAATTTGGCAAGCACTTTGGTCTTCTGGAAGCTCTTTATTTCTTTGTAGGACGCATTGGTTTTGCTGACTGGTATACTTACAAAGGGAGTAACTAGAAGCAGATTTGAAAAGGAAATGTTTTTTAGCCAAAATCCTGATGCTTTTATACTTGGTGAAATTGTTCCCATTGAAAATTAACTTGATATCCTTATGCTTGATATGATTCTTCCGTTGGAAATCAACCCCAGCTCTTCTGCCTAGTACGTACAACCCCAAAGCATGAGAGTGTTTTGTCATAGATGTTTCTTGTGGTTTTGCCAACCCAGTCTGTCTGTGGAATACTGACTCTGCTCTCTAATGAGATCAAAGTTAGAAATCTGCTAATTATGGAAAATAATATAGGTATGAATGAAAATGTGAAATCAGGGATTAAAATGACTTTTAAATAAGAAAATATGTAAGACAAGCTCCTTAACTCAGACTTGTCTACCTTTTCTTCAAGTATGACTTGACTTGGATGAATGAGCCTCTTGATTGCTTCTCTTTTAGAGTTATTTTCCTTTCCTAATAGATTTTTTGTAACTTTATTGAGATATATAATTCAGATTCTTTATTTACTGTTTACCCATTTAAAGTGTGCAATTCAGTGATTTTTAATATATTTGCAATTGTGCAGCCACAATCACATTTAGATTATCTTCATCACCCCATACTCGTTAGCAGTTACTCTCCCGTCACTGCTAGCCCCAGGCAGCCTCTCTGATCTCTTTTGTCCCTATAGATTTCCCTCTGGAGTCACACAATAGGTAGTTTTGTGATTTGTTTTCCCCAAATATAATTTTATTCTATGTAGAGTAAAAAATTTTTCTCATCTTGAAAATTATTGCTGTGAAAAGAGGTGGTTCATAAATCAGTAGATTGAGGAGGGAGGGTCAGATGCCTACATATTATTGGTAAATTTTATGCATAATTGTTTTTCCTCGTAGGTAAGTATTCATGATAATAATACGTTGGCACATATCTGAGGTGGGAATTGAAATCTCTGCCTGCCCAGTCAGGGATATATTACTAAGAAGAATGCCAAATGATTTAGTAAATAATTGACAGGGCAGTTTTCAGATATGGCTAATTTTGCTAGCAACTTTTATGGTCCAGATGATGTAAAAAATTTCTTTTAAATGCCTTCCACTGAATTTCTGCTGTCCTTTGAAGTAGATACCACAAGCCCAAAGGTGACTTGAGTGCAGTGTAACACTATTAAATGAATCCAAACAGAATTTTTTTTACAGTCCTATGAGATAGTCCATCACTACCCAGAGTAGTCTGAAAATGTAGTGATGGGAGCAATTTAAAGCTACAGTTAATGATGGTTTCGGTGATGTTCAGAAGTGTGTGTTACTCCAGGAACCCTAGATTAGAGGAAGACTCAACTATCCAGGGAACCAACCAGGTACTTTGGGCTGATGGTCCATCCAATGAAAATGCAGATAGGTTCATTGGAGGATGTTCAGCCCTGTAACTTCCTAATCATTGTTTCCTGAGTATTGTGGCTTTTTTTTTAGTGGCATGGCAGCATCTTCCTGGTTCTGTGTGGCCTGTTTCTGTGATATATTGAGCAGTGTTGTTTGTTTTAAGCATCGATGCCTGTAACATCAAGCAAAACATGTTTTGGGGATATGTTTTTTTCTCTTTAAATGACCTTGCCCTGTCCAATAAAGAAATGATTATCTCACCCTATCTTTAGTTCTTTTATTCTCATTTTCTCCTGTTTCTCTCTCCCCAGAAAATGACAAGTTGCTCTTACAGTGCTTTTTTCTTTTAATTCTAGTTTGTTGCTGTTTACTAAATCCAAGGGGTACATTTCTTTGGATTCCTTATTCAAGTTTAATAGAAACAAGGGTCACTGTACTTTGCATGATGAGGAAAAAAATATTTTCTTTTTTATATATAAAACTATACTTATGATGCCACAATATAGAACTCTGGTTCTTACTCTGGGTTAATGCAAGTGTCAGTTTTTCTTTTTTAAACAAATTTTTGTTAATTTTAATGAAACTTTACAGAGACTTTGGATTTCCATTCATTCATTGTTGCACCTTCCCCTCCACCCCCAGTTCGCTCTTCTCTTTGAAAAGTAAAAGAAAAATTCTTTCATTGTTATACAATTCCTCCCCCCAAGTGTCAGTTTTTCTTGACTGTGCTGTTTACAGTTTTGTTAAGTCCAAAGTGTGACATCAAAGTAGTAAGAAATAAGACTTAACACTTGAACTAAATAGTACATTTGCTTTTTAATTGTGAAAATATGTACATTATAACAATTGCAATTCAATAATTACTACATGTAAAACTCAGTTATAATTTTACATTCTTCATTCTATTTAAAGAGTGCAGCTGGCTTACGGGCAGCTAAGTCTGATTTCCATAAGAGGGAACTGTCCCCATCAACAACATCCACAGTTCAAAACCCATTTCCCCAAGGTCAGGCATGCTCCCACACTCCTACATTTACTTCCACCAATTCTAGCAGCAGCTATCCCTCCGAGATCTCTCACTCCTCTACAGAGTCCACTAATCTATTTCAGAGGCCATACAAAACTCACAGAACCATACAGATATGGGGTTTATTAGGGAAGTTAGCAGGTTGCAATGCAGTTGGAAATAGGATACAGTCATTCAGTGGGGACATCTCAACCGTATTCACAAACCCTTTGACCTTCAGTCTGGTAGCTTTAGGTCAGTGTTACAAAGCTCTCTTAGTCCTACCAGTTAAGGTGTCTTCTTCCAGTTCTCTAGTAAGCGTGAGCAAAGGCCCCATCAGGTAACAGTCTCAAGCCAACTTTGTCTAACTTTGGTCTCTTGGTCTCCAACACTCCCCTCTAGGTGGCTAGTACAGCAATTTCTGGCTCCATAGGGCACAAACTACATTCTTGGCCACTGTTTCCTTGCTAGTAGTGAGATTTCCATCTGTTGCTGCTGCAAAAACAAACAAACAAACAAAAAACCAACAAAACCCCACACAAAAAATCACGCTCGATTTATACCTGGTGAGATGGCAAAACTGACTCATCTCATCCTGGGTAGTTTATACACTCTGTTTGCATGTTTCCACCCAGCCATGTGGAGAAAGTCGGAGGCAATGGCCCAGAAGACCCATTTTGAATAATAAGCCCAGGGGGTGGGGGTGGGGGTGGAGGTGGTGGTTATGTGTCATCGAGTTGCCTGCGACTCACAGAGACCCTATGTACAACAGCCTGAAACCATGCTCTATCCTGTGCCAATCTCACTGTCTCCAACACACCTATCCCCATTAAACCAGTCACTGAATCAATCCACCTCATAGAGGGTCTTCCTCTCCTGCGCCATCCCTCCACTCTCCCAAGCATGACGTCCCTCTCCAAGGACTGTTCCCTCCTTGCAACATGAAAAAGTATGTCAGACAAAGCTTCAGAATCTTTGCTTCCAAGGAGCAGCTTGGCTTCACCCTCTCTAGGACAAAGCTGTTAATTTTCTTAGCAATGCATGGTATATTCAATACTCATCTCTAACACCACAGCTCAAAGGTATCAATTCTCCTTCTGTCATCCCTAGTCATTGTCCAGCTTTCTGATGCATAGCAAGCAATTGCAAAGACCATGGCCTAGATTAGGTGCACCTTAGCCTCCAGACTGATATCACCAGTGTATAAAAAAAATACTGCACTCTTTTATCTAATTCTTAAATTTTCTGACATTTTATTATGGCTTGGGTGAAAGTTTATAGTTGTTTTGTGCCATTGAATCGCCTGCAATTCATAGTGACAACAGCTCTGAAGCCTACCCTGTCCTGAGCCAGTCTCACTGATTGTGACACACTTATCCCTATTACCCCAGTCACTGTATCCATCTCATCTAGGGTCTTCCTCTCCTGTCCCTCCA